TGGCTTCACTACCTGGAGTTTTGTTCCTCTCAAGCAGCACTTTTCTCCTGGCTGCTGGAGAAGCCCAGAATGAAAAGTGTACAGATGCTTCGAGGGTCTATTTTAAGCTCCCACCTAGTGGCTTGGTTTCTGCAAACATTATAAGTAAATGGGGGCGGGAAGGGATCTGACCTTCTACTACAAATAAGTACTACCAGGATTTTAAACTTAGGTACCATAACTGATCACCTTAGGGTGCTCACTGGAGGTGGGACGAGAAGGTAGGGTTGAGGGTTTTTTTGGTTTTGTTTTGTTTTTTGAGGAAGATTAGCCCTGAGCCAGCATCTGCTGCCAATCCTCCTCTTTTTTGCTGAGGAAGACTGGCCCTGAGCTAACATCGGTGCCTATCTTCCTCTACTTGATATGTGGGATGCCTGCCACAGCATGGCTTGCCAAGCAGTGCCATGTCCCCACCCGGCATCCGAACCGGCAAACCCCGGGCCGCCAAAACGGAATGTGTGCACTTAACCACTGAGCCATGGGGCCAGCCCTGGTAGGGTTGAGTTTTATGTGCCCAGACTATATGGCAATCTCCTGGGCAGGATCCCTGCCCCTTCTGGCTGAAACTGCCCCATCTATGCCCCACCTCAAGGAGTCTGAGGTAGGCAGGTCTCTGAACTTAGAGGAAACTGATTGGCTCCTGACCAAAGGGCAGCCCGCCCATAGGCTGACCAGTGACCAATGAGGTGACATGGTGATCCAGCCTCTGACCAATAGGGTAGCAGTAATTAAACCCAGGAAACTTGTTTCCTCTAGGATTGGGGAGGGATTCGCAAGTGACACCAGGGTAAGGGAGCTCGTGTGTAGAGGACGGTGCTGGTTTTGAGAGAGCTGGAAAGAGCAGCTTCTGGTTCTGACAGTTTTTCATTCCCAGTTTGCCATTCATTCACTCCTTCACTCAGCCAGTACTTATTAAGGCCTACTATGAATCAGACCCTCTGCTAGATGCCTCTTGACATGTGATGTAATCTCTGCTCATCTGGTGCTTCCAGTCTAGAGAAGACAGACGTTAATAAAATAATCACAGACAAATGAGTAATTTTTAAACTTCTGATGAAAGATGATGAAAAGATAGAGAGCTATAAGAGAGTGAACAGGGACATCTGACAAAGTCTAGGAGGTGAAGTTTGAGCTGAGAAGTGAAGGACTAATAGAAGTTTTTTAGTTGAAGGGTGAATTTAGGGGAGAAATGGGTTCCAGGCAGAGGGGCCAGCATGTGCAAAGGTCCTGAGGCAGGAGGGAGCATGGCAGGTTTAAAGAACTGTCAGAAACCAATGTGGCTGGAGTGGAGTGTAGCTGGGCATTAAATGCCATTTGCATCTATCCACAACCTTTTCTTTAATGTGGCCTGAGGAGACTCTCTTCCTTGCAAACAAAAGCCAAATGGACAAAAGTACCTGCTGTGTACCCCAGGTTCTCAAAGGGGTATAAGATCATGAAACAGTTTCATCCTCGTTCTATCATTTACTAGCTGTGTGACCTTGGGCAAATTACTTAATCTCTCTGAGGTTCAGTTGTGCAGCTGGAAATGGAAATAATAAAAACGTTTGTAGAGTTGTGGAGAGGATTAAATGAGATGATACCTGTGCACATGCCTAGCTTGGTTTGTGGCACATAGTCAGTGCTTAATATCCGCTCCCCCCCCCCTTTTTTTTTGGAAGGAGAAGATTCACTCTAAGCTAACATCTCTTGCCAATCTTCCTCCTTTTTTCTTTCTTTCTCCGCTGCAAAGCCCCAGGACACAGTTGTATACAGTTGTAAGTTCTTCTGCTTCTTCTATGTGAGCTGCCGCCACAGCATGGCTATTGATAGACAAATGGTTCCATGCTGGGGAACCAAATCTGGGCCTCTGAGGCAGAGCGGGCCAAACTTTAACTGCTAGGCCATCAGGGCTGGCTCTGACACACATTTTTGATATCAGCCAAATAACTTAGAAAGGACCAGGGCTCAATGAGAGCTCATTTCTTTTTTGCACTGTGGTAGGGGTGGCAGTGGGGGTGGCAACGGGGGCAAGACTAATTAATACAGTGTTCAAAACAAGTTAGTAAATGATGTGAGAGAACCTGAGGGATGAGCCAAGGCAGGCCTCAGATCGTTAGCACAGGTAAACAGTCATGTCTACAGGCTGGCCTATCCAGGCGCTTGGTCATGAAGCATGCTGGGACCAGAGGGAGAGGATGGAGCTGGAGCCTAGAAGAGGGGAGCTGGGGAAGGGGATTGTGCGGAGCCGGGGTGTGGGTTCAATTCAGAGGCCAGCTCCAGTCTGGGACAGAACGTCCAGTGAATGGTCGTCAGTACTTATGAACTCCATGAGGGTAGGGCCACCTGGCTCTTGTTCCCCACTGAATCCCAAGTTCTAGCAGGTGCCCAGTGTGAAATGGATGGAGGGATGATGGTTATCTAGGCATGGAGTCACGTCCATCACATCCAGCATGTCGGGGTCAGGAAGGTCTGTGGCTTTGAGCAATCTGTCCATCTGTGCCAGCTCCTTCCCTCCCAAAGAAGGGCACCAGCAGCAGAATACAGCGTTGAAAGTAGAGGGCAGTGCCAGAGACTCTAAGGCAAGGAGCTGGGGCCCCAGCCCATGGGGCTCTAATTCTGGACAGGATTTATTCCAGAAAGAATACACAACTTGGCAGTGGGACTGCCCCTGGATGAATCCTTCAGTGAGATGGAGAGCATTAACATTGAGGATGCACGGGCTTCTGTCTATATGTATTTAGATACCACCTCATTCCATAAATGCATTGTGGTATACTTAATCTCTACTACCCAAAGGTTTTTTGTTTGTGTGTTTGTTTTAAGTCACTGCAGAAATGGAAGTAAAAGAAAAATAGAGTTGAGAAATTTTAATGGAAACAGGGTAGAGTCAATACCCAAAATACATGCCATAAGGTCCTATAAAATTTCTAGAGGTAGGATAAAAACTTAGTTACGAGCTGCCTAGTGGCCTGAGCAAGAAGGAAAACAGGGGCAGTCACAAGCTTTATAGTGTTCAGAAGATAAACCAACAGCAACTCAGAGAGGCACAGCTTTTCAGGGTATGGAGATCTGAGCGGCATTTTCTACAGGTCCTCACACAAAGGAGGTTACCCATCTGTACCCTCCCATGGGTACACAGGGCTCCTGCCAGCCTACTGGCTACTGGTGTGAGGCTGCTCATACATTTCCTGCCTCCGTCAGGCCCAGCTCAGGAGCTGAGGGGGCCTGCCCACAGACCCAGCTGGAAAATAGAATAGGGGAGCACTAGCATTTCTATTCTCCCAGAGACATCTCTACCTGAGATGCTGCTGGACACCAACAGAGGTGTTTTCTCAAACCTGGGGATGAAGGAACTGAACAGCAGCTTTTAATTCCCCACCTGGCACTGGGAGCCAGTGTAAAGTTGGTCTTGGCAAAAATGAAGGTGTAATTAATGAGATTATTAAGGGAGTGAGAGTTGCAGAGCCATCCCCAGCTGTGGGGCTTCACTTGGCTTACCCTCCAGTGACTCACTGGCTTATGAGCAATCCTCATACGCCTGATTTAGAGGACTTACTCACCCTTCAGAGAAAGACTTTAATGCAATAAAGCAAATGTCAGCAAGCGGGATGCAGCTTAGCACCTCTGCCCAGCCTGCACCCAGCTTCCCATTCCAGCCATTCGGCACCTGGACAGGCCTGCACAATGGGCAAGCTTCCAGGGCACATTCCAAGGCTGAGCAGAGGCTCAGAGATGTGAGACCGGGGAGGGACCTCAAGCATCAGCTAGATCAAGCCCTGAAGTTTGGTCCACAGATGTTAGAGATTAGCTGCAAAGCACGGGAGTTAAGGGCGGGGTGAGGGCTAGAACCCAGGACTTCCTCCTGTCCATGCGCTTCACTCCCCTTTCTTCCATGGAAACCCTGCTTGGATTCCGAAGAGGGGCTTGAGCTGAAGGAAATGCGGGCTCCCCAGTGTGGGTGGCGTTCTGATCTGCGGACTTTCCAAGAAACCTGTGGAGGGAGAGCTGGGGAAAGGAGAAAGCATGTGAGGAGCAAGGCCCCAACCACAGCCTCTGAGGGGAGAGATTTAGAAAGAGCTAGGCTGCCCTGGGCTCAGCCCGCATCTTGCTATTTGCTGACACGGTGCCTGCTGAGAGAGCTGGAGGCCTCCTTGGGCCCTCCAGAAGCAAGGGGTATGGTGGAAGCTCCATGTCGGGCACCGGTTGACTGGAATGGTGTAAATAACAGCCAGTTCCTGGTTTCCTCTGATAAGGAAACAGGCTCCAAGAGCTAGGCTGGAGCGGAGGCATAGGCAGCCATGGGGAGAAGTCATTACGGCCCCTTCCTTCCACCACAAAGGGAATCACTCAGAAGACAAGTTGACTCAGCCGTGGATTTAAACCCACTCATTGAGGGATTTACCTTGGAACTCCTGAATTATCTGAAGAATTAGTTCCAAGGGTAAAAAGAGGGGGGCAGGCAAAGGTGAACCTTCCTCCAGTTCACTTCTCCATCCCTTGGCCATTTCCCAACCTTTTCTGAGTGTCTGCCATGTGCCTGCCAGGCACTGGAGGGGGGACGCTGATCACAAGCTTGGCACTTAGGCTTGCTAGAGTCACGGGCCTTGAGCTTTAAGGGACTTTCGGGATCATCCAGCTCAGTTCACTCATTTCATAGATGAAGAATCTGAGCTCCAGTCAAACTCTCTGCCTGGGCTCACGGGAGTGAAGAGCCCAGAGTGGCTGGGTGCTCTGACCACCTCCCCGTGCGCCTGCATCTCCGTGTGGACTTCTCTTGCACAGGAGCTTAGGGAAGCCTTCAGCAGGAAAGCAGTTGTTCAGATCGCCAGCTGGTGAGCAGATACACAGCCTCACGCCTACAGCTGCACGTCCACCACCACCACCCTAGACTTCATTTGGAAATACAACCCAGTGAAGCAGGCTGGGGCGCCAGCTAAAGGTATTCTACCTTAACAACTCCGCAACATGAAGAAGTGCCCTTTTTTTTAAACTATTTTTATTTTGCACTATAAAAAACAACAACAACAACCAACAACAACAATGCTTTTCTTCACATTTGTTTGGATTTTAGGGAATTATTGCCTTTTCCCCTGGAGAAATAAAACCTACAGACAAAAAAGTAGTAGTACCACATTGCAAAATCCCACAAGTCAACAGCTTGAAGACAACCCCCAGGGGCAGGGAAGAAAACAAGTGTCACAAGAGATGAGACAAGCACACAGAAGGACAACAAGCTGGGGAAACGACCGTTTCAATGCCACTGACCCCAACAGCAGGTACCCCTTTTCTCCTGGCACCCACTGCCACCACCTCAAAGGGGTGATTTTTGGTCTAGGGTCTGAAGAACTCTTTTCAAGTGACACAAGAGTTGCTTTGAGGAGAGGTGCAAGGAGAAAGGTTCAAGTATGAATGAGAATCATGCCAAAGTCCACAGCCAGGGAAGAACCCACAGGGAAAGGAAACCCAGAAGGGTCTGTGTCTTGCTACTTCAACCAGCTGCCTCCACTGGACCCCAAGACGGCGTCTCAGAAACATCTGAGGGTTCCAATCAGCATAGGTCATGTCCCTACAAACCCTGCAGGGTTACTTCCCTGACTAGATGGTGGTTGGCTTATGTCCTGAAGCAACAGAGACAGATGCTGAGTCTGCCAAAGTTAAAAAAGGTGGAAATTGTGCTTCCTTCAAAATGAATTGGCTTCATTAACTGCCTTTTCTCCCAGTCTAGCAACTGCTTTCTCCCCCGTTGCTGCAGGTATTTATTGCCTTACGCTTGAAATGAAAAGGCGAACTTTGAGGTGCAAGGACTGGGCAGTCCTGAGAGGGCAGAGGGTCTGGAAGTACAGTAGTCAGCACACGCTGTGCTCTCCTAATGGCTTGGCCTTCCTTCAGTCCCGAGAACCTATCCCCGAGGTCAGTCTGAAGTTTGTTTGCAAGCCCGGTGACCATTACCATCCCACTGGGGCAGTGGGACAGGGAGGTCTTCAGTATTGCACAGGTATGAAATGTCCACGAGTTTAAAAAACAAAATCACAGTTGTTCTTGGGGCTGGGCTGGTTCCCCCATCCCAGTTTTAGCAGGATGTGGCTGTGGCCATGGGGCTCCTGCTGAGCTCTGAGACTGTCGAGTGGGTGGGCACTGGCGCCAGCACCGAGGTAGGGAATGTGCAGTAGGAACCCTGCACGTCAGGGCTCAGTGTCTGCAAATGAGCTTTGAATGAAGAGCCAGCTGCCTCCCCTTGGCAAGAGGGAGCCTGAGGGGTGGGCGTGGAAGGCAGGATCTCAGATTCATACTGCAGGAGCTGGCCCATGAAGCCAAAGTTGGGTGAGATCACACTCCTCCTCTGCTTGATGTAATCAAAGGCGTCCTTCAGGCGGAACTGCTTGGTCTTCATGAGGTAAGCCATGCAGATGGTGGGTGAACGGGAGATCCCAGCCTCACAGTGGACCAGGACCTTGCCTCCCTTTTCCCTGACACAGTCTGGAAGGAGGAAAAGACAGTAGGAATGAGCCGGGATTGGAACCCAAAGGCAATGCCAAAACATAAGAATTAAACACAAAAGTGGCCTACTTATCAAACCGTCATGCCAGTTCAACAGCTGTGGTCCCACATGAGACTTTTGCCCGTCCTTAATTGCCACTGGTGAGGATAGAGCTTTTGGGGTCCTACCACTGTCTATCCCCCATGTAGGACCCTTATAGTCCTTAGAGCAGCTTTCCAGTTCTCCAGGATACTTGCACAGATTCTGCCATTAGAGGCGCTAGACCGGGAGTAATCGCTTCCCAGGGATGCCATCTTAACTTGGGTTCCATGGATGGGTTTCAAGAGGACACTGGAAAATCCTTCAAATTGCATGCAAGTTTTTATTGAGTATGCACATTTTCCTGAGGGTCCCAGGCACAAAGACTGACTTGGAGAAACAATTCTTGTCTCTCTGGGTCTGATTCTAATGGTGATGACCTAGCCCCCATCCTGGTGGAGGCCTGCCAGCCTTCCCGGGCACCCTGTCTGGCTCTGCCAGGGCGGATGCTTGGCTGGGTCCCCAGGGTTCCCATCACCAAACACAATAAATAGTGCACAGCCACTAATTATAGCCCTGGCTAAGTGACGCTTACAAGATGGAGGATATAAATGGCTTTCACAAACTCCATCTTGCACAACAATGGGAGTCACTGCTATAAAGCTACCACCATCAGTTAGCATTCTTTAGCTCAATATGACAACAAGGAGGTCGGCTTCCTTTTCTGCTCTATTCATCCCCCCCAAAAGAGCAACAACTGATAAAAATGGGAAGGGGTAAAAGGCTAAACATATCTACACATCAAACAAAACCCACAAAAAATAGACTTTCAATTCCCTGTCTTGTTAGTGAGAAAACAATTACATCACAGGAAGTTAGATGTACCTGGCACTACGTGAGGCCACAGAATGCAAAAACACAAGATTCTGAAGGGCAAGTAAAGTCAGCCCCCTTACCCACCTTCCTTTTCAAGTTCAAGGAGTTTGCCAATGAATCTGCAAGATCTAAAAGCTCAAGTTTCTCAGGACTGAGGGAGGAACCCTGGAGTTTCCTCATCAGAACAAAAATCCCAAAGGACACCCCAGGTTAGCTCTTTAGAGGTGCCCCCAATTCAGTCTCTGACTCAAAAGAAAAAAACCATCCCTGTAAACTAGCTCAAAGGAGAGACCCCAAATCCCTAGGATTACAGGGTCGTGGCTCGGACTTTCCTTTGCTTCTACTGGCTTCCTTTGTAGTCTAGCTTCTAACTGGCCCACTGCCACACCCAAGGCCTAGAGTGCACGGCTTCCGGACCCCACTCTCCCCTGCAGGGCTTGCCTTCCACATGGCCCTCGGAAGAGGTGAGTGCGATTCGGCCTCAGTCCCTCCTTCTATCAGCAAGGCAAGGAGTCTGGGGAGAAGCATCCTGTGCTTTCAAAACACTGTTTGTGTGGTTGTGTACACAGAGACAATACACACACAGGATGGGGAGGGAAGCTTCTGAGACATGGTTAGGGGCGGGTTTCATGACCTCACTGAGTAGCTATCTAGGTAATTAAATAACAGGCTGAGAAGGGCAAGGCATTCCCAGGGACAGGGAGAACAAGTCAAGGGCTTCCCACCCTGAACCCATCATTTCGGCTGCCTCTCAGAGACTCTGAGGGAATCATCTCAACCCAGAGGCTCAGAGGACAAGGAGGACAGGCTCAGCCTTTCGCCTCTGGCGAGTTTCTCATTTTGGGTTTCCTGTAGAGCAGAAATCATGTGTGACAAGCAGAGGGCCCACCAAGCGGCTGATGGGGGGCCTTTAATTGCTACCTGCACTAAGTCATTACTGCTGTGCCCAGCATCTGCCTTTTCCCCTCCAACATCCTTCAGAACAGGATACATCTCAGCTCCAACTATGCGCATTAAAGGGAAGGAAGCACTCTGGAAAGGGAGGCGAGACCACAAAGTCTGGTGCTTGCAAATTTGAGACAGAAAACGGTCTGCCTGGTCCCCCAGGGAGAGGGATGGGGGAAAAAGAAGATGTCAAACAGAGGAACGACCCAGGCTACAGTGAGGAGCTGGAAACCCAAAGCTCAAAGCCTTTTCCAGGCAAAGGGACCAGAGGTTTCCAGGTCTACACAATGGAATAAATGAAAACTGCCTCACAGAATGTACAAAGGAAGCAAAAGATGCCAACTTTCCCGCACGTAAAGCATGGAGCTTGAGTCAAGTGCTATCTTTAATCCAAAACTAGCTGAAAATGCAAAACAAACTGCCCTCAAAGCAGTTTGCCAAAAACTATGGAAAGCTGCCAGGGCCCTCGGGGCTCAGTGCGTAAGTAGTGTGCTCTCCATCCTTCTGTTTGCTTTTAAAAATATCCCAACCTACGTAGAAGCACGGTTAGGGTGCTTCTTTCCCTCCCCTGCTTCCCTGGCGTGGAGCATTACGCACGGAGGTCCTCTGCTTCCCGCCCAGCTACAAACAAAAACAAGAGCAGCAGTGAGCACGGCCATAAAATTGAATTAATTCATTTATCTTGCTAATTAAAGCTCCTATTAGTAGCAACTCAAATCTTCCCGTGCCTTTTCGGTGACTGCGTCCCTTCTTGGCTCCAACTGTTGGTGGTTGCATACACAAGATACTTTTCTTCTTGGTGAAGGTAGCCCCCATCAGTACGTCAAAATCCGAGGTCACGTGTCCCTAGGGGGCTCCCAAAACAACTGAGGGCGAATGGCTGAACCTACCAATGAAGTCTATTGCTTCTTGAAAGTGGGAGCTGATGTCGGCCGTGTGACTGTCCTCCACAGGGATCCATTTGTAGTGCAGGCGGGTCGTGCAGGCCTCGGAGGCCCGCCGGGACACATTGAGCAGGGCCGTGATGTGCAGGTTGGCAAGGAACTCGCACTCGGATGCATGGTAGGCACTTCCAAGGTAGAGGAACGGAAGGATTTCAACGGGGCCGCCCTGGAAGCAGGGGCAAAAGACGACCAGGAAATACTGGATGAGCTTGCTCATTTGGGAGAAGAAACCAAACAACCCTGACCTGTTTGTTTTAAGGTAGGAGGTTCCCTCTCTGGTTTCCAGGTAGAGAGAGTTCAGAGCCAGGGCAGTTCAGCCCAGAGTGTAGGTGGAGCCTCCATCCTGGCAAACTCTCTACCCTACATTGTAGCCTCGTGACTCAGTGACAGCAAAGCCCACACAGCATAGATTTTCATTTTCTTGCACATATCAAGGAGGTAGGAAATGCCAGCAGCCTTCCTATGCTGCCAAGGATGAGAAGCAGTGTGGCATCATGGGAAGAACCAAGAGGCCCTTTAACCTTGGGGCAACCTCGGTTTCTTTCTAGATAAAATGGGGAAGGGTTCAACAAGGTGAGCTGCCCCCTCTACAGTACCGAGGTTTTATATACTGTATGTCACCAAACCTAGGACACTGTTGATCCTCAGATGCACCCAGATTTCAGAGATGTTAAAATGGGTCCCCTCTCCCACAAAAAAGTATGCTTCTTAAGAAGTGAAAAGAACTACTATCTACCCCGGAATTCTCAGATTAAGAAAAGCTGTTAGGTCATGAGCGGAGGGGCTTCCCCCACCCCTGATCTTCTTTGTGTGGGCTCAAGGGTTTGGTGAGAGAAGCTTACATCCTCATCCTTTTGGGAGGCCCCCCACACACCAGGTTTCTAGTTAAGGAGGATCTCGATGAGAACCAGGAGACCATCGACCCTGAGGCAAAGCTAAAAAAACCTGCTAGCTAGTCAAACTCTGGCAGCTCAGCATTTCCAGGGTGGCAAGAGAAGCCAGTGATGTTGGAACAATGGGAGCCCCTGGAGATTTAGAGGGAAACATTGAGCTGGAGGCACAGGGGCTGTGTCTTTGGGAACCTTTCCCATATCATCCATCCGCTTCCTGTGTTTCCATTTCCTGTCCCAGAATAAGAGCGGAATGGAAACTCTCTGCCAGACCCATACTAGGGAAAGGGGCATGGGACCAGGGCCAGCAGCAGTAGGCAATTCTCAAATTACCCAGGCTGTGGTGTTTGCTTTTTCTTTCCTGAGAAGTCAAATATTACAGCAAAGGTCAGTTTGGCCGCTTGGAAGAAAGTTATAGAGAACTTTACAAAAGGTAATAATAGTAACAACCAGTATTTTCATTAGCACCTACAATGGCTGGCCCCTGGGTTTAACACTTTAGATGTACCTACATAGATCTCTCTCTCTTTAGAACCTGGTAAACGCTGGCCTACCAGGCCTGGGATCTCATTCAACTTCTGACGCTCAGCCCAACACACCCCTGAAACCATGTATCTTTCCTTTTCTGAATCTTCTGTTTAGACTCAAGAGGAAGAAACCAAAGGTTAACACCATCTCGCCTGGCTTCTCTCAATGCAGAAAAGCTTCTAAGAAATAGCAAGAGGGGGTTCCCCAGATGAACCCTGGAGACACATCAGGGCCTCCCCAGTCCTCACTTGGCCAAAGGTCTGTGTGCTCTCACAACATCCTGCCAATTCTTGTTTCTCTTTCACTTTCTGAGAAACCAGGGGAAAACGCCACCCAAACAAACAAAAATAGAAATCCAGCTAGGCCGGATGCCCACAGCTTGCAAGCCAAGGGTTCATCAAACACGTGAGTATTTTTAATAAAGGAAAACAAACAAAATAACAACCCTGGCACCACGCCAAGCTAACAGGCTTCCTGACCAAGGATCCCATTCAAGGAAAGGTCACCTGGCTTTACTCAGAAGTTCATCCCCAGGGGCAGAGCTCTGCTCATGGCAGGCAGCTGGCATTTTAGGCAGCATCTGGATGTTTTCTTTCTTATGATTTGGATATGGTCTTACTTTGTGGGAAAAACTTGAAAAGCTCCTCTCACCAAGTCGGGTGTCTAGAATGACCCTTTTGTGAAAGAAGGCACGTGGAAAACAGAACAAGGTCCTGAAAAGAACCAGAACAGGGAGTTAAGAGAAGGGGGTTCTGGGCCTAGTGCTGCCACGAACCGAGCAGCAGGATGCTTTGCAAATCAATCATCTCAGTGGCCGTGAGACAGTTTTTCCCTCTGTAAATTGGGAAGGTGGGTTTTAACCTCTGGTTTCTGAAAAGATTTGGGTCATCGCTCCCCTTTTTGTCATCTTCCTGCATCACAGGTAACCCCCTGACTGAGCCTTCCACTTTTTCTTCCTTTAATGAGTTGTCAGAAAGTACAGTTCTTGGAAGGAAAAAAACCCACACGTTTGTAGAAACATGAAATCCTCTAGTGTCTCTTGGTCTCCTCTGGTTTCAGAATTTATGAAATTAGAAACCCTTAGAGAAGCCTGCTTACCATCCAAATAATAGTTTCTCTACAACCCTCTCAACTTCTCCCCCTGCCCCATTTCAGTTAAAAATACCAACAAGACAGGCCTTGACAGTACTGGGTTGGTATGTAGAAACTGGAACAGGAACAATTACAAAGAAGATCAACACCGGAAGCCTGAAAGTCAGCTCTGAAACATCTTCAGAGAACCTAAACCGATATTTCGAAGCTTCTCTGCATCTCCCAGGCCAGCTAATAATAATGTATCTTTCACTTCCCCTTTTCTCCAGAAGCTGTCAAGCATCCTGTGGCTCGTTTGCTCTTGTCAGCTTGTTTGCTGGAAGGAAGCCCATTTATTCTTGGATGGAAACTCAAGCTGGCAAGCAACAGAGGCTCTCTAAAGCTAGAGGGCTCTGCCAACACCGTGAGCCACAAGAGAACCAACCACCTTGGTTGCTGAGTGGTTACTGAGGGGTGGGGGGGCGGGGGTTGGCAGTCAGGGTGCTGAAGAAGGAATGGAGCCAGGAGATGGGAGAACACTTCCACAGCCATGTACCTGGTCATAAACCGGTCTGTAGCTGATGTTGAGCACTGGTTTCCCACACTGGCTGATGAGGGCTCTCTCAGTTTCAATCTTTTCTTGGGAAATGGGTTTTACGTCCACGCAGCACTCAGGATATTCTGAGTAGAAAGTCTCATATCCCCCTTCAAGAAAAGAAAAGTAAGACAGATGTAAGCATTGATTTCTCAGGCTGTCAGAACCTGCCCAGAATTAATCAATACCCTGAGTGTGGAACAGTCAAAAATATTGGCTAATATAGATTCTGGTCATATAAAAAAAATTGAGTCAAACCAACTAATAGTTTCAGAATAGAAATGGGCTTTACACCCACACACACATGACACACATACTTCTAAAAAGCTCTAGTTCAGGGAGGCAATGATTAACCTTTTGTGTCTATCAGAAGCGGCTTAAACTGTGAAAGGAAATGTATCTGACATCCAGCAAATATTAACCAAATCCCTCCAAAAAACAAAAAAAACTTTTCTCTTGTTTATCTAAAATGCAGATGTGATTATCCAGAATTTCATTCATTCGAAAGATAGATACTCCTAAACTGGTCTGTTTTGTCCCTAGCCCATCAGCTCTAAACTGGATTCTAGCTGGAACTCCCCCTATTCATAAGGGACTAGGGGCTGACCTGAGGTTTACACTCAAGGCAGTAAAACAGCCCTGCCCTTTCTCACTCCCAGGGCGCTGAGAACAGAGGCGACAATCCTCTCTATAGGTCCTATTAAGAGTAATCAATCTAGTTAATTACCTTGTAAACCAAACTGGAGGAATGAGGCTTCTGAACTTAATTCTCAGTCCCCAGAAGTAAAAACCATCTCTCCTTTTGATGACCACGTACCCTCCCTTTCTACCTCCTTATTACTCTCCCCTCCAGGAGCCCTCAAAATGTAAGTCAACTACTGGCAGGTACGATTCTGTAAAAATCCTTAATATCACATTTAAACTTCTCCAAATGGATCACTTAAGGTAAAAACTCTGACCAACTCACAGGGACTTGAGCATATAAATAAGACTTCTCAGGCCCAGTACACTCAGTGGGGAAGAACCACATGAAAAAGTGGCCTTGGAAGCTTCAGAATGCCAAGCACTGAGGGGTGAACTGGCCAGCTTCGTCTGGGGAAACCCTGGTTTCCAATCCAAAGAAACCTAAGTCACTTTCTAGAGCCTCCAGAAAAGCTGCTTCTGCCTTTTTCTGGCCCAGAGAATCCACTTGGGGTCAAGTCATCAATGAAATATGCATTCTGGGACCGTGTTATTTTCCTAAAAGCCCGTTTTTCCTTCTGTCTTTTGGGGTGGTGACAGCCCCATGTGGAGCACATGGTGATTTTTGTAAACCCCTGCAGCAGACAAACGGTTAATGGATTACATGACAGTCTCCAGCTCCCTCCCAGAAGCTGCGGCCAATTCCTAGAATGAGTCATCTTGCCATTACAGCTTCCTCTCAGCTTGCTGGAACTGCCCCCGCCCCCATTCAGTACACCCAAATCTCCCCTGTGGTCACTTCAACAAATAGCCCACTGGGCCTATGTGGACGAGCTTCTGGTCCTCTCCAACGACCATGTCCCCGGTCACGACAGGAGGCCAGGCTGGAGGCGGAAGGTGGTAGAGGTGTTTGTGGCTTAGCTTTCCCCTCCCCTCCACCGTAGCCCCTGGCCTCCTCCTCTTCCAGGAGGCAGAGAGAATGCCAGACTTACACTGATCCACAGCTTCCTCGGAAGAGGTGTCCCTAGTTAGTAAATCACTTCCTGTGCCTGGGCCTCAACATTTTGGTTTCCAAGAGACAAAGTGAGCGATACAGGATGGGAATCTGGAGTAAGAGTGGCCCAGGCCCTCCTAAACCTCAGAATGAGGCTTGGGAAAGAGAAGCCTTCAGACTGCCCCAGCTCTTGGCTTTAAATAGAGCACTTAAGAGATGGCTGTTAGGAGGACAGACAGGAGGTGCACGTGTGGGCTGGGTCCTGCCTGCCTGTTGACAAAATAAGGCAGGCAGACAAAGAGTCTCAGCGTAGTTGAGGGACAGATAAACAGGCCCTGCCTCTTCAAGTTGGGGTCAGGAGGAGTCCTCCAGATTAGATGGTCTCTGTCTTCCACCCACTTCCATCAGAGGCGTGGAGAGACAGAACATTCCTCTCTGGTGCCTCACTTGGGTCGCAAGAGCCCTGGCAATACTTTTGGCTGCTTCAACCCTCTTCAGAGGGATTCTGCTTTCCATCACCACCGCATCACCAGGGGAGGAGAGCAGAGAAAGTGCATGGATGTATAAATTGGCACTGACACCACCATTCGGTTATCATCTCAACAGAGTTTTGGGGGGGGGGGGGGCAGCGCTTAAAGGGAAGTGTAAAAAGGCATTGTCTCCAAGATCCCAGATGCCACTAGATTAAAACCTCAACTCATATCTGGACATGAGTTGGGTAAAGAAATAAAAATTCTTTGGCAACAACTTAACATTTAGTAGTGTCATAAGGGTAAGTATCAAGCAATTTCTACTGAAATTTAAAATGCACATAACTTTCAACCTGGCAATTCTATAACTTTACTGAAAGACAGTGCACATGCAAAAGCATTTGGACACAGGGCTGGCCCTGTGGCGGAGAGGTTAAGTTCATAGTCTCTGCTTCAGTGGCCCAGGGTTTCGCCGGTTCGAATGCTGGGCCCGGACATGGCGCCACTCATCAAGCCATGCTGAGGTGGCATCCCACATGCCCCAACTAGAAAGCTCCACAACTAAAAATACACAACTATGTACCGGGGGCTTTGGGAGAAAAAGGTAAAATAAAATCTTAAAACACATTTGGACAAAGATATACTGGATCACACTGCTTCAAACAGTGAGGCTGGAGGCAACCTAGTGGGTATCAGCAGGGGACTGGTTTAAAAAGTGAACCAGAGGGGCTGGCCCCGTGGCCGAGTGGTTAAGTTCACACGCTCCGCTGCAGGCGGCCCAGTGTTTTGTTGGTTCGAATCCTGGGTGCGGACATGGCACTGCTCATCAAACCACGCCGAGGCAGCGTCCCACATGCCACAACTAGAAGGACCCACAACGAAGGATATACAACTATGTACTGGGGGCTTTGGGGAGAAAAAGGAAAAAAATAAAAAATCTTTAAAAAAAAAAAAAAACTGAACCAGACACATACGCTCTGATATGGACAAATCTCCCAAGATCTAGCTGGGTAAAAGAGTCAGGAAGAGGAAATACACAAAATCATTCTGTTTTTTAAAGATACTCATGGAAAATTAACTTATTTAAAGATCAACAACAAACGGTTCATGGTTGTCTCTGGGGAGTGGAACTGGGTTCTAGAGTGTGCGGAAGACCCAATTTTTATTGTACAGCCTTTGTGCTGTTCAAATTTTTACCTGTGTATGTTACTTTCATTAAAATTTTTAAACATTTATTTTCCTGAGATGTGAGTCTACAGAGTTGCCTACTTGCGGTGAAGTAATTTCTAAACTGTCAGCATGGCAGTTTGGGAGGGGTGGGGAGCAGGGGCAGGACCAGGAGGGGTTTCCTGGAACAAATCTTTCATGCTACTGGGGAGGGGGAAGCTTTTCCTGTACTCAGCGCTAAGAGCAGGAGACAAAAACCACATCATGAAGAGAAAGAAATCAGGGGCCACGTGAGAAACCTCTGCAGAGCCTGGAGGGCATACCTCGGTCCCCTGGGGGCTGAGCCTGGCTGGAAGAGGAAGATTATCTTCTTCTGCCTCTGTTATCTCCCTAACAGGAACAACAGGGGACAGTCTGCAAGAGGTGCTAATAGAGGTAGGAGCTGCCCAAGCGCCTCTGGAATCTCCTGGCCCGACTGTGTGAAATTCCGCAAATTGCAGGATTTTAAAACAGGGCCCTACACTGTACATCTCAAGGGAGCTGGACCAGAGTTGGAGGGGTCTCCAGGCGCAGCCTTGGCTGAGCCCTCATCTGTGCACTGCGGGCTAGGTCTCCCATACATGTGCGGGTACAACAGACTCAAATACGAGGCGGGAGCGGTCATGGGAAGTGACCCAGAAATCAAGGTCTTAAGCTTGAGAGTCAGTCACTCACTCACCACCGGAAGTCAAAATCATCTCCCTAGCAGGTGTAATGGACAGACTGGTGGCACAGTTTCTGGGGGTCTCACAAACCAAAGGCCACGGAATCCCCTCCTCCGCCACCCTGCGGCACCTCTCTTAGGTCCTGGCTCGCTAGGCGGCCCGCCTCCCATCCCGGGCTGATAGCGGGAGATTGGCCCTGATTTGGCTCAGGACTCAACCGGGGATGATCCCCGGGCGGGGGAGGGAAGGGGTGGAAAGGGTGGGAAGGCTGTTAGCTCCAAACTGAGCTAGAGAAACGCCTGAGAGGAGAAGGGGAGGCCGCAGGAAAACAATAAAAAGCAATAAAACGAAATGGAAGGGAAGGGGAGGGGTTCGCCAGGGTCAAAAAGGCAAGTGGGGTCGGTGAACACAGCCTAACGTACGTTAATTGTCCAGGCGGCAGGAAAGGGGACACCATGGCGCCACTCTCCTGGGGGGAGGTCGCGACCTGCTGATCCCGCCAGATCGATATATCAGGAAGACCCAGAGCCCGGGCCCCCGGGAGAGCTGCGAAGCCCGCGCCAGGAAACGGGGCCCGCGCCCAGCACGAGCCGACGGCCCCCAAACTGCTAAGCAACCGCTGCGTAACCAACCCACCCGGGCAGGCGCAGAGGCCGTCAGGCGCTTTCGAGGAACGCGGGTGGGGAGGGGGAAGCTCTGAGCGCTGACACTGGCAGTGCCCGCCCTAGCGCACGTCAGGCCCCAGAGTGCAGACTTCGGCAAGCGGAGACTTCCCGGGTTCCAGGGTCGAGGAGGGCGCCCCACGCAAGGAGGGGACCCAGAGCCCGGGGCCGTCCTGGCGCGGAGGCGGGGAGGGTGACAGGGGATCGGCGGCCCCGACGCGCTCACCTTTGAGGAAGTAGACCCGCGGGCCGGCGGGCAGGCAGGCGAGCAGCGAGGTGAGCACGACGCGAGCGGCGCTCTCTTCGCGCAGCTTCTGCCAGTGGCGGCTGCCCTGGTCAAGCACGACCACGGCCGCCACGCCGCCGCCGCCCTCCTGCAGCAGCCGCGCGCGCGCCGCCTCGTCGGGCAGCACGTAGCGCGCCGACACCGCGCCGCCGCGGGCCCGCCGCAGCACCACCGAGTTGAGGTTGACGTTGAGCGAGCCGCGCACGCTCGAGGCGGCGAAAGCCAGGTAGGGCCGGCAGTCGAGCACCACGCAGCGCGCCGCCGCCTCCTTGCGGAGCATCTTGCGCAGCTGGCGCCCGTCGAGCGACGTGACCTTCATGCCGCCGCCCAGCGGCTCCGCGCCGCGCGCCGCGCAAGTGCCTACGGCCAGGGTGCCCGCTGGCGAGGCACAAGCGGGCGACCCGCGGGGCTGCGGCCCGCCGACCGAGCCGTGTGCCGGAGCGGCCGCTCAACTCTTCCTTCCCGCCCAGCACGCTGGGCGCCGAGCCCTGCCACTCGCCGCCCCAGAAGCCGGGGATTCCGCCAGCAGCGCAGCGTTTTATGTGAATGAGCGTGCGGCCGGTGACGTGGCTGCCCATATAAGGCCGAGTATGGGCTTTCCCCGCCCCTTCGGGCTGTGGCCACGCCCCCGGGGAGCGGGAGGCGCGGGCCGGGCGGACGGCGTTAGTCAGCCGGAGAAGGAGGAAGTGGAAGGCGCCTCCGTGTGCTCTCTGTGGCATCGCTCGGAGAGACTCACTCGCGCATCACCGGGGACTGCCGGTGGGGTGTCAGGAACGCCATGGGGCCGAGGTGACCCACGCTGTGCGGGAAGAAGAGGAAGCGGGGGAGGCAGGGCCGGCGCCGCACAATCGGGCTTTGAGTTTCATAGACGTAGGTTCAGAACCTGCTGGGGGCCGGCACCGTGTAAGGCAGAGCAAGGGGAGCCCTTGGCTAGTGCCCTCAGATGAGTCAGAAATGGATTCCGATGCTTACCAAAGTCTTTACGCGTGAAATGAGATGATAGCTGGGATTTGCTTCAAGAGATGAGTTATGGATGACTCGAGTTTGGGCTTGTGTTGGTAATCGTTGAAGCTGAGTGATGGGTACTTGGGGGTTCATTATACTGTTTTCTCCACTTTTTGTATGTTTGCGATTTTCCATAATAAAAGTACCCAAAAGTAAAAATGGAGAGAGAAGAGCCAGCAAGTTAATCTCCCCAAATGGATTCTGCCCTCCAAGGATTGACAGTCCTTTTCTCTGTCACCTTCCAATGATAAGTAGAATAACTGTTTTTTGTGGAGCCGTTTTCTGGCCCCTGGAAAATCTGTTGTGAAATCAGCTGCAGCATCAACATGCTTCCATTGACGGAGCTCAGACCAGCCGACTGTCCAGGTGGCTTCTGGATTTGGGGGATTATCTGTGGATCAACTATAATCCCAGGCTGTCTGCCCCCACCAGTCCCCAGCAGCTTCAGCTTCCCATCCGCTGCCTTGGGAAACTGGGGCACGATTCACCCATTCAGCAAGTATTTGTTGAGGGTTGGTTTTGTGCCCAGGCTCTTCTAGCTGTGGGCACACGTGTGAGGGAAACATGTCTCTACCCTCAAGCTCACTAGGAACCATATTATTGTTGGCTGGAGCCTGCCTCCACTAGAGAGGGGTTTGTTTACTACCGACATGGGGGAATGAGGCTTTTAGAAGGAAGCAGAGATCAAATTCTGAAATCAAATGCAATCAAACTGGACACCAGATAGCTGACATTGCCTCTGGTCACAGCTGCATTGAGTCAGAGGCTCTGTCCTCGTTCTGCAGTGGAGTCTTAACGACAACGTAATGTGGGGGTTTTCTTTATTTTTGATGTTATCCATGCCAGCCATCCCTGCACCTGGTCCTCCCCAGTGTCACTGGTGCCATCCACACCCAGACATTTCCCCAAAACCACACATGTATGGAGCAGCCATGGCCTCTTTAAGGTCCTGTAGTCAGTATGGAAGAGCATCCAGGGTGAGGAGAGCTGAGGTGAATTTCGAAGAATGAATCGAGGTTAGCCAGGCCATGGAGGGGGAGGGGAGCATTCCAGGCAGAGGAAACTGCTTGAGGTAAAGAAGAAAAAAGCAAACCCAGCATGGTATGTGCTGGAATTGTGTGGGAGACTAAGGCACTTCTGGTGTTTATCAGAAAATTAAGCAGACAGGTGACGGAGGGACTTGTGTGCCATTTAAAGCATTTGGATCTTATCCTTTGGCTGGAGCAGCCCCCAATGAGGGGTCTTACTCAGTGACCTGGTTGGGGAGCATTTCGGGACCTCACTGTGGCAATACTGTGGAGGATGGATGTTTTATTTGAGAGCAGGGGTGGGTTAGTCCAGACCTGAGTCACGGAGACAGGAGGCTTTTGTGGGTAATCCAGGCCTGAGCTGATAAGGGCCTGTGGGACTTGGCAGTGATAGCAGCAATTGAAGAGGCCACACAGATGGGAGAAACATTTAGGAAGTAAATTGCCGGAAGTGTTGGGATGGGGAGAGAAGAGTAGAGGGTGATGCCAGGGTTTTAAACTCGGGTGACTGGGTGAATGGTGACATCTTTAGATAGGGACTGTACAGGAACAGGTCTGGGTGGGTAGCAGGAGGAGGAAGGGGTGAACTTTAGATGTATTAATAAGTTAGAGTTGATCTTGGGCCCCCCAAGGGGGTGCCCAGTAAGCAGTGGGGTGGTCCGGCAACCAGTGTAGGATGGTCATCCGTCAATCAGATTGCTCCCTTCCTTCCCATGTCCAACAGATCACCAAGTCCCAGAATCCTGCCTTCCAGATCTCTCTTCTGACCTACCCTTTCCAGTCCCATGGCCGGGGCCAGCATCATGGGTGTGTGACCTGTGCAGCTGCACAGGGCCCCATACTTAGAAGGACCTCATGCTTGGTTTAATGCTCTGCTGTCACTCTCTTGAAATTCTTAATTTTTGGACAAAGGAGTCTGCTTTTTCCTTTTGGATTGGACGCCACAAATTATGTAGCCTGTCCTGCCCGTGGCTGTAGTTAAAGGGCCCCATTATCCAGCCACCGGGCCCTACAGTAGCATCCTGTTTCCCAAGCTCTAAGCCCTCTCTTTGCTCTCTTGTCCTCTGCATTGTGATCTTTTTAAGCATAGATCTGAGCACAGAGCCCATCTGCTTTGCTCAAAAACCCTCAGTGACACCTACGCACGGTCTGATAAAATCCAGATTCCTTAGTGGAACACCAAGGTCCTTGTTCCAACCAATTGGCCATAACCCACCTCTATCCTTGTTTTTCTCCCTACCCCCCTTCCCCATTCCCAGGCTCCAGTCACAACAAACTGCCTGTTTCCTCAACTTGCCCAGCATGTTGCTGCCTCCACCCTTTCTTCAGGCCTTGACGGCCTCCGCCATTCCTTCCTATAGGAATCCTTCTTCACCTTTACACGCCAACTCCAGAGCTACTGTTGCACCTCCAAGAAGCTGCCCCAAAGCCCCCCAGCCTGTTAATCAGTCGCCCTCCTAGGGGTCCTCACACTTGTGCGGTTTCCCACTCCCCCAACCTGACACAGGAGTGCTATCTATCCTCCTATCATCCTGCAGGCTCCAGGGCCACACTCAGGACTTATCCCACCACCTGTGACTCCCGGCATAACACTTAGCACTTGGTAAGAGCTCAATCAGTCTTGGTGGAATGGAATTCAGTGCTTGCTGAGACTTGACAGCAGCTGGCTTTTTAGGAGGCACTTGGAAAGAGAGTTGGGCAGAGCATAAATGAGGGCCTTAGACCCTGGGTAAGGAGGCAACATAAGAGACTGTGGATGCACAGTCTCTAGGGTCAGGAACTAGAGTTCGTCGGCCACAGGCCTAGGAGGAAGAGGAGAGTGTCTGAGACCGGATTTGGGTAAATAACCATGCCTGTGTACCCTACTGGTTTGGAATAGGGGTGAGGGTGAGTTCAGGAAAAAAAGCAGAATTTAAATTAACATGTGAGTGGATGAGGCAGGACCTTGTTCTATTCGTCATTCTCTCCCATTCAGTCTCTGCTGTGACCAGCTTTTATTCGCTTACCTAATATTAATAGAGTGCCTTTTGTGTGTCTAGGCGTTTTCCTCCCCATGGCCCTCCCATCTCTCTCACCCCCAGGATCTTAGAATGGAGGAAATACAATGTTCCGTCAGGGGTACAGACAGCACTTGCTGTGTGACTCCTGAGAATCACTCACCCTCTTAGAGCCGTGGTTTCCTCTGCTATAAAATGGGGACATTAGTGCCTACCTGCTAATGGTGAGTGACAGTGACATAATGTACCTAAAGCTGTATTGCATGATGCAAGCATAAGGTATTTTTATGGTTGTTGTTGCTAATAATATTATCCATCAGCAAAGCATTCACTCATTTACTCGGTCCTGATGCTGGTACATTCAGCTTCCTCTTCTGTAAAATGGGAGTGAAAATAGGACTTAGCTTAGAAGTGCCTATCAGGATTCAGTGAGTTAATACATGTGAAGTACTGAGAACAATGCCTGGCGCATGTTAAGAACTCAATAAATGTTAGCTAGTTGAACAGACTGTAGTATTTGTTCTAGCCAAGAAAAGACTGTTTTCTAATGTCACAGGAAAAGAAGATGGGGGTAGCCATGGCAGGAAAGAGGGAGTTACTTGCTGTCTTCTGAAGGCTCACTGAGTAGAGGGGGATATGTAAAGAGCAAGATCCCCAGACCCACTTACAGTAAGGTAGGAGAGACAAGAAGCTGTTCACACAATAATAAGTGCTAAATTGGATGTTTTGATATTGAGAGCGGACGAAGAGAGATCAATAAAGGCTGGAGTATAAGAGCAGGCGAGCCTAGGAAAGGAGTTTTGATTTGCTAAATAACCCCTCCAATTCTAAGAGCAAGGACTTTCAAGTGTGACACCCTGAGGTTTAAGCCCCTGGTCTGCCACTTACTGATTCTGTGACCTTGGGCAAGTTACTTCACCTCTATAAGCCAAAGTCCTCTCATTTGAAGAAAAAAATGGAGATAATAATAGTACCTACCTTGTAGGGCTGATGAGAAGATTAAATGAAGTACCTACGAAAAGCCTTTCTCTGCACGCCCGGAGCGTGGCGAGGGCTCTATGTAAGCCAGTGTTTTTCTTTATGAAAAGTCATGGCAGCACCGAAGCCCAGAATCTTGGCAGTAAGGAATTATAATTCTATCTTGAAATTTTCCAGAGAGGGAGCTTAGTGCCTCATGAGACATTTTTGAATGAGGCCAAAAAAGGAAACAAGTGTATCCTGGGATTTTTATGAGATGCCAGGTATGTTCTGAGCACTTCACTTAATCCTTACAACCACCCTGTGATGTAAAAACTGTTGCCTCCATTTTACAGTTGACCAAGGTCACATAGCTGAAGCCGACTTCCCTGTATCTTCTACCCTTTGCTTCCAGGTCTGGAGAAATACAGTATAAATCTAGACCTGTTTTGAAATATTTGAAGATGGCCATCTTGACCCATCCCAACCTCTCTTTTCTAAGATAACAGTCCTTGTTCCTTATCATAACAGTTTTCCAGACTCCTAGAAGACAT